TTTAAAATATTTCCACCTACTACATCTAAACATTGAACTTAATTCTCATAAATCGAATTATAACAATAAAATCCATTATTGAAATAACTTTTTTTCTTTTCTTTCAAAGCTAATCTAAACACACGCTTGATTAATTGTGTTCATTCCACTCTTGTGCAATGAAATTTGAAAAGAGAAAAAAAAAATGGTTTTCGTAATCTCGACTAAATAACAAGTCAAGTTGAAAAACAAATGTGAACCACTTTTGTTTTTAATTTTTTATTATTATTATTTTTTCCTTTTCTGAAATGTTCAATAATGAAAATTCCAACTAGGAGTTGTTTTTCCTTTTTGGGATAGATTATTCAAAATCATCAATTGACCTAATTAGTTTTTGGTCATTGGACTCAAGTTTAGTAATAAATCAGCCATGTCCTGCTTAAAATATAAGCAATTCAATGTTGACAGTTACTTGAAATAAAATGAAATGTAATAGTAGTTGTTTTAGTTATTGGATAAAATTTATATGATGTGTGTGTGTTCACAAGAGAAGAGGAAACTATTAAAAAAAAGAGAACGTATTCTTCTGTTCGTCAACTGAATGACTTTTCTTGTTCATAAAAGACCTACTAAAAGTAACATTGACGGTGCATTAAAAAATTGGATTAGGCAGGACTGGTATTATTGCTGGCAACAAATCCCTGTACATTATTGACACGAAAACCAAGAAGAATATTACTCCCTCATGTCGTGTGTGATGTCATGTTTGTTAGGTAATTTTATTGGATATATAAAATAAAATTATAATTTTTTAATTTTACCTTTTTTATTATTAAATTTTTATGAGGTAAAAAAATTATTAATATTAATAAAAATGATAAATGATAATTTGAGAGTTTAAGAGTTTGAAAAAATACATTCCCATAATCTTTAATAGAGACATAAAATGAAAATGAAAATTAAAATTTTATAAAAATTGTAAATTGTCTTACAGAAAGAATTATCAATTTTTTCTAAATTATTTCTTATATAAGGACCAAAGGGAGTATTTATTATAATTCACTTCTCATACTTACATTTTATCTAAAATCTCCAAATGTTGTGATGGGTTGGTTGTGACATGTTCTCCTAAATTACTCTATATGTGCTTTCAGCAAAAATAAAGTATTTTACTTGTGTCACATAGATACAGACTAGTGAAGTCCATGTTCATTGCATTGTATGAATCATAAACTTTGTAAACATGTTGAATTGTTTTTTAAGTTATAATTTTTAGGCTTAAATATGTTTAAACTATCTCGAATTAACTCGTTTTTCAAATTACTACTTTTTAAATTTTTTTTTGTTAAAATTACCTGATAATTTTTTTTTTTTCTAATTTAGTACCTGACGTTAGTTTCCTCTGTTAAATGATGACATGGAAAACAGATTGTCACGTCATCACCCAATAGTGTCTGCCACGTCATCCAAGGGACTGCCACATGGATATGGTGATGACATGGCAAACACTGTTGGGTGATAACGTGGCAGTCCGTCTGCCACGTCATCACTTGACAGAGGGAGACCAACGTCAGGTACTAAATTGAAGAAAAAAAAATTAGTCAAGTATTTAAAACATAAAATAATAAATTAATAGGTAGTAATATGAAAACCGATTTAATTGGAGGTAGTAATCTAAAAACCGACCTAATTGAAGGTAGTAATCTGAAAATTATCACTGAAGGACAACCTATTTTGAGGCCACCATATTTCGATTGCATAAATTACACTGAGCGAAAGGAGCGTATGCGAATATTCATACAATTCATCGACTTCAAACTTTGGTTTGTCATAAAAAATGGACCAAATATTCCAACAAAGATAGTGGACAATGAAGAAGTGGAGAAAAGTGAAGATTAATAAGATGAAGAAGCATAAAACACTTGTAACTAGAAACAAAAGCAACAAATGCTTTATATTGTGCCATGAATTAAGATACTTTTGAAAAAATTTTCAAGTGCGGCTTAAATATGTTCAAACTACCTTTAATTAGGTTAGATTTTAGATTACTACCTCCAATTAGGTTGATTTTCAGATTACTACCTCTAATTAGGTTGGTTTTCAGATTACTACTACCTCCAATTAGGTTGATTTTCAGATTACTACCTATTAATTTATTATTTTAAATACTTGACTAATTTTTTTTCTTCAATTTAGTACCTGACGTTGGTCCCCCTCTGTCAAGTGATGACGTGGCAGACGGACTATCATGTCATCACCCAACAGTGTGTTGCCACGTCATGATCACCATGTTCACGTGGCAGTCCCTTGGATGACATGGCAAACACTGTTGGGTGATGACGTGACAGTTCGTTTACCACATCATCATTTAACAGAGGAAACTAACGTCAGGTACTAAATTGAAAAAAAAAGTTGTCAAGTAATTTTAACAAATTTTTTTTTTAAAAGTAGTAATCTGAAAATCGAGCTAATTCGAGGTAGTTTAAACATATTTAAGCCTAATTTTTATGAGTGTTACATTGATCCATCATATATGTATAATGCCTATATTGTTAATGTGTGTGACTAGCCACTTATATCTTAGACTGTTAGTTAGAGTAACTTTCCTTTATGTTTTGTAGGTAAGAATCATCTAGATGATGATGTTGATAACAAGAATTAGACCTTGTGATATGTTGATGGGTCAACCTATAATAGGATGTGATATCAGGCTTCTTAGATTAAGATTTTATGTTCTTTTGATATATTGTTATGTTTAATATTTATATTAGTTCTTTTGAATTGTAATGACTTTTTGTTAGCCACTTGATTTCCTTTAGTATTTTCCTAGTACTTTTCATATTTTGAATAGATGTGATTTTCTTTATCTTTAGAAGTTTTATGAACTGATTTTCATCCTGGTTAAAGTTTATTTTAAGAGTGATAAGTGCTATGATTTCATTAAGTTTATGGCCTAGTTTGAAGCACTTATATCAATTTTCCTTACTTTAGACTTTGTTTTTAACTCAAAACATATCTAAATTGTTAGGTGATCACATTTTGTTTTTGAATCATGTTTTTAGGGAACTTACAAGGATTTGGTTGTTGTTTTGTAGTTTAGGAGAAAGCTAGGAAAGAAGGAAGGAAGTCAAGCATAAAGTGATGAATTCGAAGTTGAAGGAATTTTTGGTTAAGTCCCCAGGCTAAGCTTCAGATCCACGCTTAGTCTCAGCTTGGCAGAGAATCACTGGAACAAAAATTCAATCCTCATGCTAAGCGTGGAATTGAGGCTGAGCGTGGGAGTCCCAGAACCTCATTTCACTCCAAACCCATCCTCAAGCTTAGCATGGCATCTCACGCTTAGCGTGGATTGTGCTGACATGTCATTATTCACATAAGATAAAAGCTTTTATGACCTAAAAGTGGAATTTTCGAGGAGAGAAGCAACAAGGACCATTCTTGGAGTTTGTGTGGCGGTTGGAGAGCTCTAGAACCTTCACGATCAAACTTCTTCCTTTCTTCATCATTTGTAGAGTTCTACATGTCTATGTGTAGCTAAACTCACCCTTGTTGGGGTTTGATGTAACTAAACCCATTCTCATGTGTAAACTCTAAGTGATCAATGTTAGTTGTTATTCAGTTTTATTGCTCTATTTCTGTGCATAATGCTTGTTATGGCTTGATCACCCTTAACTTGAACTTGAGGTTTTTAAGACAATGAGAAATGATTTTAAACCTTTGAAATGAAATAGAGCAACTAATGGTGCTTATTGCTAGAGATAGAGTAAATGCCATTGGTCTTTCTTAAGCTCTTGTTTTTAAAGCTGGTTTCTTGGTTAAACTATGCAAGAGATTGATAGTTTAAGTTAGCAACTTAGATGCCAACTTGTAAGAGATTAGGGTTGGTTACTTTTGAGAGTGATTGATAAATTCTGAATAATAACTATTGTGAACTTAGTGATAAACATGAGAGGAAGGTTTAGTGAAGTCAAACCCCAACAATTTATTAATATTGCATTAGAATCAAGTTTTGCACTCTAAGTGTTTACCAAAATACCAAAAAGAATTATTATTGCTTGTTTACATTATTTACTGCAACAAATCAAACTCTTATTGCTTTTCGGTAGCTTAGTTAGTATAACAAGTGAAATTACAAAGTGTTGCGCAAGTCCCTTGGGAAACGATACTCATACTTTCATTGAATTACTTATACGATTTGGTACACTTGCCAAACGAGATAACAAGTTTCTGGTAGAGTTAATCACCTATACATTCTAGTGTAAAGTTTTTTTTTACATTGTCAACCAATTATATTTCTTAATTGTGCCATGTTACTGTAAATACATTTACTTTTAACAGTGATATGACATAATTAAGAGATATAATTGATTACTAGTGTAAAAAAAACTTTACAGTGACAATGTATAGGTGATTAACTCTTATTTTAAACCATTTAAAACTTTTATTATTATATATATATATATTAGTATGTAAGGTGGGTAACGTCATAGTAAAAGAGAAAAATAGGAACTTACATATTATGCCTATGTGGGCTCTACTTTGGCCTTATAAAATTAAAAGTATGACTTTCTTTTTACTTAAATAGGTTTTTCTTTTTAATAAAACTTGGATTTAACCTTTTAATAAATAGCACAAATCAAATCTTAGGTTCCCAACAATTTCTTGACATATTTTTACCCTATCTCTTATGAATGATAATAATAAAAAAAAACAGGAAAACTAAATATATTATTGAACGAATAAAAAAATTAACTTAAATGGAAAAAAAAATGTTTAAGGGTAATGAATTTATTTAATAGTTTTTGAAAATGATTCAATAAGTGTATTCTTTTACTTTTTTTTTAGATAAAAATAATAATAGATATGAAACTTTGGTCTTAAATAGTATCTACAATTGCACGTGAGAACAGAAATAGCCGGAGAAGAAAAAGACAGAAGAGAGAGAAAGCACGCGACGCGGGTAAATAAAATGTCTGAAAAGTCAACACAAGTCTTCGTCTTCAAACTTGAACCTTTATTTTCTCCTTCATTAACCACGTCAAGGGCATGCTTCTTTACCAACATGTTGCAAGCTATATAGTTAATACCAAGATCCTTCAAAATATAATCCTTTCACTTTCACCTTAAATAATACTAATAAATACATGTACACACTATATAATATAACCACTTAGTTGCACAAATACTTTGATTATATTAATACACACAATCTTACTATAATGTTTTTTGGTGGAGCTGGGGAACCCAACTAGGATCACACAATCATGAAGAAAGGGAACATAAGCTCGGATCTCAAACTCACTATTCCTGCATCTGATCAGGGTTCATTAACCATGTTCCGGTGAGCCTCACTCTCACTCTCTTTTTGTGTGAATGTGTTTTGTTTTTGTGTGTGGTTTTGGCTAATTGGAACTGTGGCAGCTCTGACTCTGAAACCGGAACGTTCAAGGCTGGGGACTTGCTTGTTAACAAAGAAGGAGTTCGAATTGTATCTCAGAATGAAGTGGAAGCTGTAACATATTTCTCTTAACTTTTTATGTTTTGCACTTTTTTTTAGTTGCTTATGTTTTAGAATATGCATGTTCAATTGGGTTGGTATTGTTTCTCTTCTTGGATTTGGTCTTTTGACATGAAGGGGTTTCTGAATTCTCTGTAGCTCGACTAGTTTCAGGTTTCCAAACCAAGACGGGGAACTATTTGTTTTAAAGGGAAAAAAATTGTTTATTTGTAATTTCATGAACTCACCAGAGAACAAAAATGGTATGTAACTATGTATAAGGATTAAAGTGAAATATTTTTAATTATAAGGATTAAAAATAAAGTTTATGTAATTATAGAAATTAAAAAAATAATTCAAATTAAAAAGAGTTTTATAAGAAATATATATAATTTGGTGTTTCGCCCTTATAATAAGATATTCATTAGAAAATTTGGATTAGGAAGAGAGAGAGAAGAGGATGGGAGTAGTAGTGGTTAATGAATTTAATTTCTGGTTTTATTTCTCTTCTTACATTCGTTTTCTGTATAAACAAATGGACGATAAGCTGATGAAGTATAAGATTGTGTTCAGGAGACATAATCCACTTCATGAACTACTAAATAATATAAGCTTATAATTTGCTTCATTTCCATTAAGATGTTAGGATCCAATTGCATGATATGTGACTTAAGTCTCACATTGGAAATATGGAATGAAATTCTAGTGTGAGATATATAAGACCTTGAGCTCTAAAATTATAATAATAAACTTTTGTGGTGTGATTCTCCCAAGGTTCTTTTTAGAAAATAAAATTGATTTGGTGTTTTCTAGACTACAGAAAATTATATGACTTGTTTGTTTGCATTCATGAGTCACAATGAGTTGTAGTACGGTACCATTGTGATCTCTGGGACAAGTGGTTTGAATTTTGAACTTAATGGAAAGTAGTGCTTTGTATGGTCACTATACCTTTGAAACACAGATTGCATAAAGACTGAATTCTGATAACTTTTTATGTGTTTAATGTTTGTGCTATTTTCAGCCACCCCCAATCAGGCCACTAGATAACCAATTAAGTTTGGCAGACATTGATACAATCAAAGTGGTTGGAAAAGGAAATGGAGGGATAGTGCAATTGGTTCAACACAAATGGACTAATCAGTTCTTTGCATTAAAGGTATTGTTGCGGGCTGCATACATACCTTGCTTTGTGTTTGCATCTTCTGTTTCTTTCTCTTTTATGTTAATCTAACCTAAATCACAATTTCAAAGGTAAAATCATTCTTATTGTCCATTAAATCCATTTCATTGAGCAGTCAGGTATTTTCAAGCTAATTTAGTTTCTGTGATATCAGTGTAAGTCAAGGGAGAGAAAGTATTGATCTCAATTAGAGTTTAACAAATTGATTACTTGATTTCATGAGAAGAAAGTTCATTTCATTGAACTAGTTAGTTTTGTTGCAGTTGATTTCTTTTCCTTTATGTCTGAACACCATCTTCCTGTTCATTCAAACATTGGACCTTTTAATTTCACTGAACAAAAATGATTGAGGTGTGGTCTCTTGGGACTGCTATATTTTAATCAGTTCAATGGAACAAATTTAGGCTATGATCAGCAGACTCAGAACAAAGAAGACATTTGCTACAGTCATAATTATATAGGTTTAAATACATTTTTCTTCCTTATAGTTCATCTTAATTTTGGTTTTACACCCTATACTTTAAAAGTTTGATTTTTGCTCCATATAGTTTCGTTTGTTTATGTTTTTGCTTTCATTTCATTCTATTTAGGTTTTAGCTCCTATATTGTCATGTTAGTTAGTTTTCTTTCTCTATAACTTACTAGACATTGGTTTTGATGGTTGTCTCTTCAAGAGTACATGTGATGGTATATTGTTGGTAAGAGGGACCAAAACCGAAACTATATAAAAGCATAAGGATCGAAAACTAAACTTTTTAGAGTATGATAACTAAAACAAAAATTGAGATAAAGTAGAGGATAAAAAAAGCCTAATTTCTTTTTTGTTATTCATTAATTACATGCATTTATTGGTTCTTCCTCCTGCTTTTAGAGTTTTCAATTTTTTTTTTTCCTTTGTGCTTGTTTTCTTTAACAATATGAATTTTGTTAGCTTGAAAGTCTTCTGCATCTGTATCATTATCTTAATCCAGGTTCTTGTAATAGACTAGTTTCCTCTTATCCGATATGTTCACAACATAAGTCTAATCATGTTCTCTCATTCCACATTGTTCTTTTGTAACTTATGATTTGTTCTTCATGGTTTAGGAAATTCCAATGAATATTGAGGAGCCTATTCGCAAGCAGATAGCACAAGAGCTAAAAATTAATCAATCAGCACAATGTCCAAATGTTGTTGTCTGCTACCATTCATTCTATCATAATGGTGTCATATCAATCATCTTAGAGTACATGGACGGAGGGTCCTTAGAAGATCTTCTCAACAAAGTTAAAACAATTCCAGAGTCATATCTTGCTGTCATCTGCAAGCAGGTGAGGAATAAGATATTATGTATATTTGGATAAATTTCTCCTAAAACACTTCTTGGAGAAAAAATAGAAAGGAAAAATGAAGTAAGTTTCTTCATGAGGTAAAATTATCTTATAGATAAGTTAATTTGTAAAAGTTCTTTTTTATTATTTTTTTGATTTTTTTTTAATTTATGCATAAGTTAGTTTTAGCTTATAAAAAATATTATTTTGATTTTCCTTTCAATTTTTTTCTTCCGAAAGTACTTATAAAAAAGCCTATCTAAATAGACTCATTATACTTCAGCCTTGCACCTTTAATTCTTTTTTTCTGCATGCCTAACTAGACTTTACTCCTTTCTTGTTTTAATACCAAAATGTAGGTGTTGAAGGGTTTAATGTATCTTCACCATGAAAAACATATTATCCACAGGGACTTAAAACCTTCTAACCTGCTGATAAATCATAGAGGGGAGGTAAAGATCACTGACTTTGGTGTAAGTGTAATCATGGAAAATACATCTGGTCAAGCAAATACTTTCATTGGCACATACAGCTATATGTCTGTGAGTAACACATGATAGTATATTTATCATTTTCCACTAACAAATTCATCTGCCGCCACCATTTCATGGAATATAACTTGTATATACATCATGCTCATTTTGCAGCCAGAGAGAATTATTGGTAATCAGCATGGCTACAACTACAAAAGTGATATATGGAGTTTGGGACTGATTTTGCTCAAGTGTGCCACGGGGCGGTTTCCGTATACACCACCGGATCAACGTGAAGGATGGGAAAATATTTTTCAGCTCATTGAAGCCATCGTGGAAAAGCCTTCTCCTAGTGCTCCATCAGATGATTTTTCTCCAGAATTTTGTTCATTTATCTCAGCATGGTAAATATTAAGTCTGCTTCAGCAACTAAATCATATGATCTCATCCTTAAAATAATTGGGATGCTTGATGAGAGTACAATTCAAAAGCAGTGTGAGTATGTAGCCAAAACATGCAATCTATCTGTGTGTGAGGCTTTATATTCATATTTTATTATGTGGTCTATATGAATTGTGTGTAAAGCCTTATATTTTAGAGAAATAGGCTATGCACGGTTGGTATAAAACAATTTTACACCATCTAATTACAAATCATCATATATATGATAACGGTGATTTTTGATTGATCGAAAATGTAAAACTTTTTACACTCACAATACATGACTATTATATCTTATATAATTTCATGGAATAAACCTCCATTTGTGTTTAAACAAACCTAAACTGTTGGCACCTTCAATCACTTTTCAATCAAATATTTTGTTATAAATTTTATGTCGCTGCATTTTATGAGGCCTCATTCTATCTTTTGTGTTTAGTTTACAGAAAAATCCAAGGGATAGACCGTCAGCTCGGGATCTTATAGTATGCATAAATCTTCACTATATATATATATGAGTATGCCATGTCAAATAGATCAAACAGTCGTTCTTACATTGTATATCTCTGATTTAAATTTCAGAATCATCCTTTTATCAAGAAGTACGAGGATTTGAATGTGGATCTTTCAGCTTATTTCTCCAACGCAGGAGTTACACTTGCAACCATATAGAACATGCTATGTTCTAATCCTGGGCTTTATTCAAAGGTAACAGGCTATTAAAATTAGCGCTAAGTGTTAATTACTATATAAAGAGAATGCGTTGATCTTTCACGATTATTTCTGTTATATTGTGGGAGTGATCCATTAGTGTGAACTGTTAATAACAAGGTTTTAAATTATGGTAATCCGTAGTATTGTCAAAAATTATGACAAATGCAGTTGATGCAGTCACAGACTTCATAATTCTTAACGTTGCGGTTGAAATTGTAGTCTAAACTGTTTGTTAAAACCTTGGTAACCACACAGATACTCATGCTATGGTACTCAGAAATTAAATGACTGGTTTCTAATTTTCTATTAAAATGATCCATTGTGTTGAAAGCTTGTTTTATATTGGTATAAAAGATTGTAATACTCTTCTAAAGCCAATATCATACATTTACAGATATTACCCAAACTACAAGTGAATGCGGGATGTGCTCGTTTGGTTTGCAACCTTCCAAGTTTCCATACTAATATTCTGGACTATCTGAGACCCTTCCATATAAAATACACATGGTTCTGAACAATGAGAGATATGGCACTATATGTCAACTTGGCAAATGGAAAGTACTACTGTCACTTTATATGTAACTGCAATTTGTATTCATTTACTTGTAGAGGATCACCAATTGCCTATGACCAGAATTTGCAGAATGGAGCCAAGGAAACCAGCTGTTAATATTATGTCAAAGAATGTGTTTTGTTGTTATGATACAGTCATATAGACAATAATAAAACCTAAGAGAAATTTATGCCTGCTCATTTGAAAATAACTAATAATGTAACTCAATGGAGGTTGCTTGCTTGCTTTGATTATTTGAGTAACTTAAAATTTTACATCATTATTCATTAAAAAAAATAACAGTATAACTTTTTGATGGAGGCAGCTGTCACAGTGATGCCTCATCTTACTAAGGCATCCCTGTGTGCAACAAATTTTGGTATACATAACATAGCCCTCTTGAAAAACTGAAGGGCTAATATAATAAATAAATATGATATGGACTGAAAAATACTTATAAAACAATAGAATATATCTAACAAGTATTCCAGATGATGGCATCTATATTATTCTTTTTTCTTGAATTTTCTTTGGGGCTTCAAGTCTATAACAATGACAGAGATGTTATCTTTGGTTCCCCTTTGGAGGGCAAGTCTTGATAAATACTCTGCAGCATACTGAGCTGCAGGATCAACTTCTTGGGCTTGTTCTGATGATATGTTGTTATTGCCATTTTTCTTATGCCAAAGAAGGATTCGCTTTCGTGCAATGTCACAGGCTTCTTCATTTGTCATGACATCCCATAAGCCATCACTGGCTAGAATGAGGCACTCGTCATTTTTGTCTCGTTGGACACACTTCACTTCTGGGTCTGGAATTATCCATGGTTTCAAGTACCTATCACCTTTTAATGGACAAGAAGCAAATTTACACTTAAGATGACTAGAATCTTATCAATCAAGGTAAAAACCATTACTAGAATCTTATATACATAATATGGATATGTAGATTTTGACGTGGAAATGCAAAATCTAATAAGCCAGAGTTCACCATAAGTAAACTTTTAAATTGGTGCTCTAAAACAAGCAATAATCTCATACCTATGGACCTTGACACAGCTAAAACACCTAGAACTCGGTACCCATTCCATTGTATGACCCTTCCTCCTGCAGCTTCAATCCTTTCCCATTCATCATCTCTATTTGGCTGCAAAAGATGAAATAAAGTTTCCTCCATCAGATAACTTGACCTTCTAACTAATAGTCCAGCAAACAAATTGAAACGAGCACAAAACTTAACGAAAGTTTCTTAAGTGTTTTTTGTGTTGTTTACCAATCAAAATTGGAACTTCACCTAAATATTCAATGCCTACTTTAAATACCAACCTTTATTGTGTGAGTACAAGTTACCAGGGTTAAACAACAATTTTAATTAAAGAATAACACCAAAAATATCTAAGGAATTGCGTCCATGTATTGTTCTAGAAACAAAAGTCTTACTTTGTGGTCAACAGACAATGGAAATGCTTCTTTACCACGGCCTAAGACAGCTCTTGAATCTCCACAGTTTGCAACTATTATGTGTGTTTGAGTTAAAATGGCAACCACAGCAGTGGAGCCAACAGTCTCAGAAGCAAGAGATTCAACACTTGCACCATCACCTTCAACTCCTCCAACCTCATCATCAACTTTTTGAAAACAATTGGAGAATGTTTTCTTCCATTGGTCCTCCCAGTTGTCCCTCCCATTCTCTCCATAGAAACTTGATTGTGCAGCTTCTACCTCATCAACCAACACTGAATGAAGATGCTCCCGGCAGTAATTGGCAACCTATGAAAACATCACCCTCCATGACATTGAAATAAGGAGTAACTACAATAATACAAAAAATGGTATGCTTGAGAGTATTTTAAGGCATACCTGACAACCCCCATGTCCATCATAGACACCAAAAAAGTGGGCTGGTGAGTATTTTATGTTCTCATTCACATTATCATCCATTACCATCCTTGAGCTGACTTGAAAAAGGTGAGGCCTAACTGCAATAGCATCTTCCATCTCTTCTCTCCTTCCACAAACTGATGAGCAGCCCCAAAGTGGGGTAGTACTAGTAGTACCACTCAATTCCAAGCATGTTTGCTTTTCTGGCATCTCACAAGGCACAACAAATGGTTTTTTATCAGACTCATCTGATCCACTTCCATCTTCATTCTCATGTTCCATAGCAGCAGGAACCATGTTCTGTACCGGCACTAGCGCGATCAAACTGGACTTTCCATGACTTATATTATCTTCACAACAATTAGTATTCAAAACAGAAGATTCCTCCCTACAAGGACTGTTTTTGTCACCAGCAGAAGATTGAAAGATATCCACACACTGAGAATCCTTAGCTAACAATGATTCATTTTCATTTCTTGCCTTGTTTTGACTTTCAGAATGGAAACAATTACTGTCTCCTTGACTAACCATTTTTGACACAACGTGGCCTCCAACCTGATCACCTTTGCCTTCTGAAGACACTTTAATTTGGGGTTGTGGACCAATATCTGAGTAGTTTTCACTTCCAACAGAGTTGGACTGAGAACCCTCAATTGCAGGGTTGAATTTCAAAGCTGATGCTGTATTGGCCCTGAGCTTTAGACCAGTTATCTCCATGTGGGTGGTCACTCCTGACTCTTTCTGTTTTAAATTCCCAAGGGTGTATGGCACTGCAACCGTCGAAGTTATTTCCTCCATATGATTTACTCTGCCTTGTAGCAAATAGCCTTATCCTCTACAATCCTATAAATGGTAACCTCATTAACTCGCTTCTCTATGACAAGTTCAATTGGCATATACACAACAAGACTCCTACGGCAAGAAATTAAAAGATCTTAGAACCAATCTTCTCTACAGTGTAACAAGACCAAAAATTCAAAATCAAAGGTTATATTGAAACAGTGAAGCTAGATGCTACAATAGCCCTCTAGACCCTTTTGTTTTGGATTCTATTTAACCACAACAGTTAACAGGAACAGGACACAGGTGTTCTAAAATCTTGAATTTCTCTACGCCTCTCACCAATCTTTGATTAATCCCTGGAACATGAGGCAATAGATGATTCAAGAAATCCCAAATCCAAATAATTGTCAAAGTCAGTGCCTTGTCTCTCTCTGGCAAACAAGGAGACAAGGGAATACGGGTCATTAATTAAATTAAAAAAGAAAACAAGAACAAATAGTACAAATGAGAAAAGGGGTTCCTTGGATCTGAGGGAAACAACATCCACCATTGAAAATTGATTTCCCTGTGTTTACCTCTTCTGTTCCTTTCATGTGTCAACTACAACATGGCCACCCATCCTCATGTCAACTTCCACCCACTTTATGCCATTGCTATCTGTAATAAATTATGCCCAGATTTCTTTCTTGAGTGCATTGAGATTAATCTCTTGAAACAGTAAAAGAAGAGTCTCTTACCATCACAAAATCAAAAAAAGGAGCACAAACATCAAAAAGTAGATGCCATTATTCACTATTTGCATCAAACTTCCAACAACGAAACATTTGTATTTTCTTTACCTAAAGAATAAAAATAAAAAAGGGTCTCTCAAGTCTCAACCTAGGAAAACAAATCAATACGTAACATGTGATTCATGATTGATACCCTTTAATCTTTAGGAAAAAAGAGAAAAGAAAAAAAAATCTCACACAAAATCTTTTCTTCACCAACAAAAAGAGAAAGGAAAAGAAATTGAAGCAGGCTTCACACTTGTTCCCTTGCTTAATGATGCGAGAGCATGACACGTAGCGATTTTGTTTCGTTTTTTAGTTGGTCGGTTAGGTTAGGTTAGGTTAGGTTACATCATTCCCTAACAAATATCTAAAAGGAACTCTTTCTTTAATATCACCCATATCCACACAAGATTTTGGACGTGAAACTCTTTCTAATCCATTTGAATCTTTCACAAACGTGCTTTGATTTTGCAATATTATTACTATAATCGAGATCAGGTTTGAACCATAGGCATAGCCAACACAATACTTTTTTATGCATTTATGTGAGGAAAATAATTGGGAAAAATAGTGAGAGCCAATGGAAAGAGAGCACGCAAGAGAGAAATGTGAGTTGGAGAACATGTGCGTGAAGATCAAGAGAAGATCCCCAATGCCTAGGGGAGATGCACAAGGCAACACACCTTGGAATATAATACACTAATTACTTAATTAATCTATTACATGTGGAAGATATGGATTAGGTGATATTAGTGACTAAATTAAAAGATAAAAATTGCATTTAGAGGTCTTCAAAATGTACTTTGTTGATTAAATTGATCTTCAGGTTAGTATATCGATCCAAGTTATTAGAGATGTTGAAAATGCAAAGGGATTTATTAGGGTGTGAGTGTCCTAAACATTTGTGGTAAAGTATTTGATTTTCATGCATCATTAAAAAAATATTAAGAATGTAATTTGTAGATAGTTAAAATATTTTTTTTTTAATTCTTATAGTTTTACTTATTTTATCTTTTAAATTTTATAATTTAAAATAAATATTTTAATTCATATACTTACATTTTTAATCTTTTTTAGTTTCTCCTATTATAATCTCATTTCTGTATGAATGATATTAATTTATTAATCTACATGGTGGTGATGTACTTACTTTTTTGACAAGCATGTCTCATTTCATGATTTGTTGCACAATTATCAACAATTTTAATTGATCATCTAGATTACATTCAATCATAGTAAATATTAATTGTCCACAAAATTCAACCATATGGGCTCTTCATTTTTTTCCTTCTAAACCATTAAATGACACATCACCATCCACAAAACCAAATATATTACCATCACATGAATTTAATAAGTCAACATCACTCATAGGAAAACATCACAAATAGATTAACAACAATGGCTAAAAATGATTAAAAATGTAAGTATAATGATTTAAAAGGTTTATTTTAAATTATAGGGATTAAAAGATAAAGTCAGTGAAAATATAGGGACGAAAAATGTATTTTAACCTTTGTAGACTAAATGCGAGTGAGAATGACCTTTTTTAATTGACGCCCTCTCTATTCTTTTTTATATGTAATTTTTTTATTATCATAAAGATTAAAAAAATATAATTATTAAAAATGTGAGTCAATTAACACAAGTATATTTCAACTAATCAGATCTTGAGTTTAAGTATTGAATATGCATATGCTAAGTGTGGGTGTAGATTAATTGGAACTAGACTTTGTTATACTTGAATCTAAACCTTGATTGAAAATACATTTGCAAAGCCCTATTTATCATAGATTTTTTTAAGACCTAGACTCACCTACATAAAAGTCTAACTTGTCTTACAAATATGTTTCAAGATCTATTTTATAATAACTTAACACTAATATAGAATTTAAGATATATATATATATATATATATATATATATATATGATAGGTTTTATAAAAAGTAAAATATCTAATCTGTTTATATAATATAAACATATTTTTATGGTTTAATAAGAAATTTGGGATGATAATTTATTTGAAAATATATTTTTGTAATAAAATGTCTAAATAAGAACTAAATTTATTTTTTAATTAAATCTATAAATTTCACTTTTTATGTAAGTGAGAATGCTTAATATTTGAAAAGATAAATAAATGAATGATTTTAATATTATAGCAAATTTTATTTAAGAATAATAAATATTTAGTTTTTTTTTGTTTAAATACGTCGATCTAATAAGCTTGATAAACTTTTTAAAAGAGTTTAACTTTTTTAACTAAATGAGTTTTAATAAAATTTTGTTTTGACCTATTTTATAAAGAAGTATGGTTTTGCATAAACCTAATTTAAGCTAGGTCATCAACTTCTGTCAAGTGGCATGTCTTATTTTTACTCCTAGTAAATGTGAAAAATATTTATTGAAAGAATTTTATAACTATGAATGGTCCTATTTAGCTTGAGTATAATTGTTTTACATGATAAATATTTGTTTTTTAAAAAAGAAAAAAGGTAAAAATGCATCTATTTTTCATTTATTTTTCACCATAAAAATCAAATAAATAATAATAACATGCTTCTTTCTTTTTCATTTCATTAATTTTAGAAAAAATGTATATTTGTTGACTATTTAAAATATTGAGACAACTAAATTATTTGTTCTTTAAAAGTATCTTTTTCTTCACCCAATTCATAAATGTTTTACATTGTTATTATAAACGAAAGAGAAATAATAGTGAAAGTTACATTAAGATGTTAAAAACAATTTTAATATGAATATTAGAAAACGAAGAGGATTGAGAGAGTATACGATAGGGAAAACATTGTAATTGAATAGTGTTCTTTTCAACTGAATGATTTTTCCCAATTACATTTTGAAAGCAGAAGGTATTTATATTTTTACAAGTAAGATGACTAGCTGTTTACAGGACATTTCGTTTATGGATTCTTTTTGTTTGAACTAGCAAAATGTTTCAATTTAGGTATGTGTGAATAAGCTTTCTAAGAGGATGACAAAGACGGTGATAATTGTCCTAATTAATTTAGCAAATTCTGATTTCCAGATGTTCATCAACAATTATCAAAAAATAACCCTCATGCACATAAACATTCAAATATATCGAGTGAATAACATAGATATTGACAATGCAGATCATCGTCCAATTTACATGCTTTGTTGAAATACAATAAGTACTGATAAAAAGTAACTAACAAACTATAACTACACTAGACTACAATAGACCTAGAAAAAGAAGAAAAAATGTGGCCAAGAAGTCATACCCAGCAATCTTGTGCACAGAAGCCATATACGCAAGCAATGAGTGCTTGAAAGAGTTTCCAAGCATGACTTTTTCGACCTTTGTACACGAGATTGCCTCTTCTATTTATAGAGATAATCGAGAGCTGTTAATCTTGTGTGGGCTCATCGTAGGTGCATAACCGCTGTCCATTCCGTAAACCGCGTGGATTTAAGTGTAACTCCTCGTAACCGCTCATCCCACATGGCTTTTTATTTCCTCGATTCACATTTAGTAACCTCCTTGGTGTAACTACTCAACTGTTCAAGAAACCTCCAGTATCCTCTTATCTTTAAATTTTCGAGCAATCCTCGAATATGCGTACTTGTAGCTTCTGATATTACCTGTTAGTAGGTATCTCTTCGATTACCCCCCTATTCGAGTAGGTTCCATAAATTTTTAATCGAGTGACCACAACAAATGCCCTCCTAGGAATTTAGTCTTCGAGGAGCGTACGAGGACGAGGGAAAACTGAATTCCTATTTTGACTTCACCTTTTCAATAGATACTTATTCAACCTCTCCTCTTGGCTAAAGAACCGACAACTCCTTATTCCACTTCTTCGATGGAACCTAATTTGAAGCGCTTAATTAAATGTGGTTACCGTTATATTTGAAATTAATGCTTCTCATAAATTTGACAGCGCATGCTCACATTTCTCTATGCTTCTGTCCCCTAATTTGAAATGTTTAACGGATGATTTGACACGTTGGCCCATTTTCCTCAGGCCCATTTACATTGTTTAAAAGTCTCACCAAGGGTAAAGTTACTTTTACCATTTTCATTGTGCACAAGAATCTCTTTCTTCTCCAACCTTTTCTGTTCTTGCTTTCCTTGCTCTTCTTGCTTCTCGTTGTTGCCATGGCTTCTTCTGTAGCTTCCACTTTGGCCACTTCTTCGGGTCTTTTTCCAACTCTAATACCTGTTTCTCCCACTGAATCTCTACCACTCCTGATGGAAAATGCTTCTATTTCTGTGGTGGAAGGGGGTAGGGACCCTTTTGTGCCTATTCCCGGTATGGAAGAAGCGAGCACCAAGATTTACCAATCTCAGGTACTTATTCCTTTTTCAACTCAAGATGGCTCTCTTCGTGCTTTCTTAGGTCCCTTTTCTAGTCAAAACACAAAGAAATATGCCAACATTCTATTCTGTAATGATGATGAGTCTCTACCCTTTATCTATGCTCCTAAGATTGACCTTTCTCTCTTTACCGACATCACTAAGATCTTCAGGGCCTTTCCTCCTACTAAGGATAGGCATATACAATGGTTAGAACGTGTTGAAGCTTCAATGAAGTCTGTCTGGTTAGATGCTGGTATTTTTGATTTTGTTCAACTAGCTAAGTATGACCTGCATATTTTTGACCCACAAATGCTATTATCTGCTATTTTCTTTTGGAACAGGGAGACTCGAGCTTTCGAGTTTCCTTGTGGTTTTGTATGTCCTACTTTGTTGGATATTGCTGCTATCACAGGATTAAAACCCATAGGCCATAGATATCACCCTGATGCCTTCGAAGAAGAACTCTCCTCTAAAGACGTCTCTATCGTTTGGGACAAGAAAACTTATTTGGTTTTCATTAGTGCTCATCAAGGTCAACCAGGGTAATCTGTATCTGATTCGTAGCATATTGCCTTTCTGCTTTATTGGTTGTCATCCTATGTTTTCTTCACGCCCTCCCTCCAAGTACCGAAATATTACTACATCCTAGCTTAGTCTCTACATTTACGAAAGAAAGTGTGCTTAAGTAAATTGTTATTGGCTGCTTTATATACTTGTCTAGATGAAGCTTCTGAAAGCTTATTTCGTGAGATTGGTCCGAGGAATCATTCAGGACCTCTTTGGTTACTCCAATTATGGCTCAACGCCATTTTCGAACGAAGACTCAAATTGGCTCCTCTTCAATATTCCATTACCTATGCTCTTGAAGGG